TGTGTGTGTGTGTGTGTGTGTGTGTGTGTGTGTGTGTGTGTGTGTGTGTGTGTGTGTGTGTGTGTACCGCGCGCCTACGCTTCCACACAACGTAAGAAGAAGAAGAAGAAGAAGAAGAAGAAGAAGAAGGAGAAAGCATACCTGTGGCGCGCTGGCGGGCGGGGGGCCTGGCTTCGCTGCACGACAACGAAGACGGCGACGGGCAACGACAGCGGGGGCATGGGCTTATCGACGGAACGGCTGGTGAATCGGGGGGAGGCGGGAAGTCGTAGGCGGGAGGGAACGGCTGCTCCTCCAAGGTTCGAAAAGGAGGCCTCATCTGGGCCGCCGATCTTTCGAGATCAGCGGTCCAGAGAGGCAGCCCTTTTCGAAACTTGGAGGATGCCCTACGGGAGCTGTTTCGAATTTTTTTAGGGCCAGGAGGCCCCCCCAACCCGCGTGGGGGCCTCCTGGCCCCAGAAAAATTTGAATCGGCCAGTATTCGCCTATGCGCTATAGCGGACCGGAGGGCAACCGGCCCGGTTCCGGTTGGGGGTGGACCCCCCGGTGGGACCGGGTTTACAGCCCTGGTTCAAAATAGATATGGTGGACAACCTTTTTCCATGGACAAAGACAGAAAGCTCTGACAGGTAACAAACATTTGGGAACTAGAGATAGACGAGAGCTACAGCGGATTTGAGGGAATGTTTCTCTGTAGACGGGGAGTGACTAGGAAAATGTCTGACAAAGGTGTCGGCTCGACTGACAGTCAAATGACTCAAATCCTTCCGTGAGGAAGGAATCAATGCTGTCACGGTCCGCGGGCTGTAATGTGGGGAAGTGTTTTGTGTGGGTATCCTTTTTTTTTGTTTTTTTGTTTTTGTAGGTCCAATCTCGGATTGGATGGCAAACTATATACATCACCCATGTAGATCCAATCGCGGATCGGACGGCAAACTATTCTCCAAATTACCTCATCATTGACGGTTATCTTCTCTCACCAGAATCCCTAAGCCCCCTCCAAACCTAAGGATGCTGTGGTGAGCTGCCAATTCTCTTCTTGACCTGGGATATTTACCTGGCAAAAGTCACTTACATATTCATAATTTCATATGTATTGATTAGTATCTGACAGGGGATACGAAATCAATCCTGACCGAACCTCTCCCCCCTGCCTTTTCAGCTATATCTATATCCTTTATTCCCGACAGTGCCGCCTCCCCGTATCGTCATCGTCTAAAACAGCTTTGAGCAGTCTAAGGTTTGTGCATTCCGGGAGACATAGCTGCGGCACTGCGCTATTGTTATCACAGTTTATCACGTAACTAGGGGGGGGGGACCATCTCATCATCACACTCCCCCTGCTTCGAAATACAACATACGAAGTACAAATACAATACCCTGCCAGCAGAAATCTGTTCTTAACGAGGGTGATATCTAGGGCAAGGGTGACGTGGAGATACGTTATCCATTAGCCCACCCACCATCCCCTTGGGACTTTCCACACCCATCACCCTCTCGGCAGCCCTGACCGAGGTATATCGATTATTTCAGACAGTGTTGCGACCCGGTGTTGTCATTTTCCATAACAGTTCTGAGCATTCTGAGCTTTGAGCTTGGTAGCAGCACTGTGATATTGTTATCATGACATTATCACGTGACAGGGGGGAACAAACCATCTCCGCATCACAGCCCCCCTGCCTCAAAATAGTAGACTCCTGCCCGCCAGAGTCTGTTGATAGCGAGGGTGATGCCTGATTGCCGTATTGCGAGGCAGACGTGGCAGAGGACACATCATGCCCTCACCCTCTTCTCGATCACCCTCATCTCCACCGCCCCTCCTCCACCATCCCATACCATTCCACTGCCATCGCCCCTCCCCCACCATCCCATACCATTCGCTTCTAGCCAACCCTGACCGAGGTACCCTACTCCAGCAGATCCCTCCCCACCCAGAAGACTCTCCTCTCTCTCTCTCTCACCTGATGCTGATGATGCTCCCAAGTACTGACCAGCGAAGACGGTGGCCTTCTGATGCAGGCCGCTGGAGCAAAGTCCAGCAATGGCACCCAGGTAAGTCTCCACCTCACTTGCGGCTATGGCTCATGAGCCTCCGCACTCCTACCACCTCCTACTTCTCTAGCTGCTGCTCTAGCACAGCTCGACCCAAACTGGTGCTGCTCTCCAGCAGCATGACGCCCAACAGTGAGCTCCAGCCCAATGTCCTCGAACTGGAGGCCTGGCCCAGCTATATACCGCTGGGCCTGGCTGGACTCCCTACGGTCTGCCATCAGGACCGTCCGATCTAGTTTCCACTTGGATGGTCCTGATTGCAGGCCCAAGTCCTGGTCCTACGATCCTGGTCTAGAAGCGCCTGATGGGTCCTTACCGGATGTCCAGGCAACAGTGCTGATGCAGAAGGGTCCTGAGGACTGGGCCCGCAGAAACAGACGAATGCCTGGTCCAGTCCCAGATACAGACAAATCTGAACCAGGCCAACTACGACCGAAACTGAAATCCACCGGTTCGAGCAGGCACCCGCCTGTTCGGATAAAAGGAAGAGTCCAAGACGACACATCTGAGAAAGACACAAATAGAACAGACAGAACTCAGCCCCAAACTCCATCAACAAAAATAAATGAAAAATAAATAAATAAATGTCCTGAAAATTGGCCCTCCAAGTTGCACTGCGAGAAGGCTGCATGGCCTCGGCGCCGAGAGAAGAAATCACAGGCCTAAAAAAGGGCCTTTGTAGGAGCCACAGGATGCTACATCCCCCCCTCCTTAGGAAGCTGAGCCATGGCGAGGGTGCAATGAATTGCAGTGTACAAGCGGTCTGTATATTAGTTTTGTCTAATTTGTCGTTGTCGGGACTTGGTCCTGCAACCTTTGTTTGCTGTGTTGCCTGTTTGCCTGTTGTTTGGTTGTTTTGAGCCATGCGGGACTTGATCCCGTGACCTGTAACTTGTGTGTTTTGTTTGTGAATGTTGAGCCCTATGGGACTTGATCCCTGAGTTTGTCCCTAGTAGTCTCTGTTTGGTAGTCCTAGGCCATTCAGCCTTTTCCTTTTGCCTTGTCATAGGTCTAGGTCCCCTTTTCCCCTGTTTCCATCTAGATACACATGAGTCTTGGGTTGTTGCCTTTGGAGTCCGCCGTAGGTCTAGGCAGAGGGTAGAAGTAGCGGGCAGGAAAATTAGTTCGGGTCTTTTCAGATTTTATTTGTCAGAAAACAAATAATAATAAAAAATATAATTCTAATTACCGTTCACACGCAGAACACAAATAAAAGAATTTAGCTGTGCTGTTTAGTAGAAGATTAAGAAGGTTTGGGGTTTACGGCAGGTAGTAGTAAATGTCCGAAAACAGTCTGGGAGATTACAGGCTCAGGCCAACGGCCGAAACCTTCAACAGAATGGCCACGTCTGAGCATGCAACGTGATCCACAAGGCGATGTTGTTTGTGATCAGGCTCGTTACAGAGCCTTCCCAAAACAGTTAGCATTCTACAGCAAGCGGGAGTAAAACTTTTCAATGCAATCAAGGAAAAAAATAAAACCGGCGCGGATTTCAAACACTGCTGTGCAGTCTGCAAAACATTTCAATTCTAATCAAAATAGGAATATGTCATTTTTTTTTTTTGAGGAATGATCCTATCTGGAGGAAAGAGTGGCACTCAGTCTCAAGAAGAATTCTGGAACAGCAAAGCACGGTATCAGGGAGTGGAACCCTCGATTCAGATTCTAACTG